TTTCCGAATATCGGTTAGAAAGACCTCGGGGCGAACCAGCTCTGGCGGGAAGTCGACTCCCACGAACTCTCTTCTTCCTCCGTCAGCCGCTTCTCTGATCTCGCGCCTTGCTCCTACTCGAATACATCCATGGAGAACGCTGCACTCTCCCGCCGATCGGACACCGGATCTCGAGATTCAGTCGAGTGATATGCACTCAGGTGAAGCTCAAACTTGAGCGATGCAGAAGATCGGGCGACGCTCCGCTCGGGTGTTCGATAATTCTCCAGTCACTGATCGGCGTTTCTCTGATCTAGGTATGGGTGCGTCTGAGTCCGATCCGAAGATTTCTAGCCTCTTGATCTTTTTTTTTGAGGTCTGATGATGTTGGAGATCGATTCCTGTTCTTCACTTGAATACGTGCATTCTTTCAACGGGAGGTTTTCCTTGAGAGGCGCCGGTAACTGAGATTGTCTGCCCGCTAGAACAGAGGACGGCTGTACAGCGTCAGAGGTAAGCTAATCCATACCGGAATCTTGATTGAGCTGTGATCCGGCCTCGGTTCTTATCACCGATTCTTTTCAAGAACCACAGGTTTCATAAACCCTCGCAAACGTTTTTCTCGTCTTGAGATGATTTGACCGATCCCTGCGATAGTATCTGGCAAATTAGGTTGGATTAACGATCAAATTCGCAGAAGGATCATAGCGCGACGTTCCAGTGAGCGACTGCCTCTAGGTGGGATTGAGGATCAAATTCACAGGAGGATATTTCATGAGATGCGCTGACTAGAATCATAAGGCTCTTCAGTTTTCTTCTGATCCGTTTTGCCGCTTCCGGAAACTTCGGAGGTGGAAGATTTCGAGGCCGGACAAGCGTCAACGGGAAACAGACGTAGGTCTTCCCCTTGAGTGCTACTACGCACGTTGTGTAATCTCTTTCACGGAGAGGGGAAGAAAAAAGGGAAAGGGAGGGATGAACTGCCCCTGCCGGAGGACAACGATATTATTCTAATCAGATCGCCTTGTTATTCGATAATGCAGCAGTCCATCCTCCTGCTCTCACTACGGTATGTCTTTCTGCCTGTCTGTCTAGAATCAAGAAAGCTCACAGAGAAGAGGCCAGAAGGACAGCCATTGTCCTGATTTCTCTCTGAAGAATCGCAAAGTTCTCCGAGGAGCAAACTGGTAGCGGCTGTGGGAATGGCGTCGGGGCTTCCGCCAGGAAATCTCAGGCATGTGCAAGTCGCCGGTGTAGCAATTGAAGCTTTCGTGACCAACAGACCTGAGGAAGTAGACGAGTGGGTGCGGCGGTTGGAGGAGACATGTCCGGAGACGAAGATCGTCGGTCTCTCCTTCTACTGGGATGTCAGCTCCCTCCCCGACGGCTCCCTTGGGCGGATAGTCTACTCCATCCACGTCTCCTACCAGAGGAAATTGCTGGTTTACCACCTCTCCGCGGAGGTCAACTGCGTCATCTCCCCCCGCCTCGTCAACTTCCTCTCCAATCTCCGCAACATCTTCTTCGGCGAGGACATCCACCGGAGCCTGCATGCACTAGGGTTTCACGGCAGTCGCAGGCACAGTTTCACGTTGGAGCTGACCGACGTGGCGTGGATTGATGGCGTCTCTTCCGCCACCATGTTCGCCAGCGAGGTTCCTCCTCACGTGGCTCTGGGGGACTCTCTTCTCACGGACCTGGATACAGACCTTCTTTATCTCACGGATCTTGGGAGCCTTCTGCCCTGCATTTGGCCGATGACCGACTTTCAGGTCGAGATCGCCGCGCAGACGTCCTTCGTTGCTCAGAAGCTCGGCATGCGCGTTTACGTGCGGATTTAGCGCGAGGTGATGAAGAAGACGAAGACGCACATCTGTGCAATCGTCTTGCCTCTCCTCGGTAAGCTCTCCGCCATTCCTGGTGCTGGGTCTTCTACCTCTGAAGAATCGGATTAGGCGGCCTTCCTTCCTCGGATGGCGGGCTCCACGTCTGCCTTTTCTCTATCAGGTTGGATCAATAAGAATCCTCACCGTGTGGTACGATGGATTTTCTGCCAGAAACACTCGTCACAAGACAGAATGCCATGATTTCTCTTCAAAGTTACTGCTCGAAGACTTCCAAACGCCAAATCTGCCCTCCAAAATAAACAATTTTAGCTCAAAAAACAATGTCTGACACAAGAAATAAATTTGTTTTAAAATTTAGATTTCCCAATGGAAAATTACAAACTCGACCAGATATTTTGAAAGTTGCACGCTAAAAATATGATTTAAGAAAAAAAACAATTGGTTTTGGAAATGGTTAGTTAAAGGGGTCTAATCTTTTATGCCTAAATTGTTATATGAATAAAAAAGTTAAATTTCTGAACGTATTCAATAATCAAATGACAGAAATTTAGGCATTAATTTGGACATTTATTATAACACCTACTATAAAACGAAGTAAGAAAAGACTACAAAATTATTGCAGAAATGTTGCCTATCTCATGTATTATAAATTCAGCAAAAACTACAATTATGTAAATTTTCAATGGACAACTGGAAACTAAACGAAACAAGTGAAATGAAACAACCCAAAATCAAGGCTTTATGCTTGAGAAATTCTCAACTTTATTGACTTCTATTACACTTTTTCTTCCATTTACTTGACGATGAACCCTGTCCCGCACTCAAGGACATATGATCCTTGCCATCTACAATGGTGAACAGGATTTTCTGATCTATTACAATTATATATTCCTTCCTTCAGTCCACTATCAATTAGCCCTATTGCAACAACCCTTGTACATGGTGCTCCTCAGGATGGAAACCAAGCTGCTGCTCCTGGCAACGTTGACCCTGCACAACATTATTGGCGTCTTTGGCCTCCAGCCATGGGTCCCTGGCACCGTGCGGTGTCCATTGTATGTAGCCTTTCCTAAAGCGCTCTTTTGGTGACGTGGAGCTTCTTAAGGCAGAGGGTTTACTTGGCCTCTCGACATGGCCACTAGGCGGCGATCAAGTCTAGGCAGCTGTGGAGAGAGCCATCATCGTCCAGAAGGTTGGTAAACTCATTGTCGTGCAGAGCAGGGTGTCGTCGTAAGGTGAGAGAGGCAAAGAATAATGCGATCTATGATCAGATCTTCAATTGTTCCCCTCACCCACTACCTGACCCTACTTCATGGTCCAGAGTCTTTCAAGCTTTGGTTCAATGGGTGTGAACATTTTTGAAGTCTTACAGATATGCTTGTAATTTATCAAGTCAGAAGATCTAAATAACACAATTAAGATCTGCCGATGCCAACTTGAGGCTGCCCATCACATTTGATGATCCTAATGGGATCCTCCCCTTCCCAGGGTAGAATTCCTGGAACACCAAGGCAAAACGAAGGGACAAAACAATAGTGGATACGAGAGAGAATGAGGAAATCAATAGTCCAACAGGATAAAATAGAGTAGAACAATAATAATTTTAAAGGACAGATATTTAGAACATACGAACCTAGTAAAACATGACAGAGCGCTCCCTAAGAGTTGATGAGCACTTCGAGAGGGTGAACCTCTAGGACTCTTCCCTAAGACTTCCTCCCTCCTCCACCTACAAACCCACAATAACTTATGGAGTGTTTTGATAGCAATATCGGGTCAATTTTGACTTCCGCAAAATTGATAGAGGCTGATCCTTCTTCTTTTAGGATACCTTCTGAATCATGCTTCTTGCCATCCTTACCTAGCCATCATAGAATGGCTGAAGGATGGAAGAATGGTATCAATACTGCCCCCCACATGTTTCACCTTATCCTCAAGGTGAAATTATAAAAAAATGTTGAAGGAGCTTTTGAGTGTCTTCCCAAGTGAATTTTTAATTTGGTAGTCCAGATCATTAGACCAAAACTTCTATGCTATGTGATATGTGTTGGGCCTCAACATTATCTTTTAGAGCTATGATTCAGGTGATTTTTTTTTCTTACTATACTAACAAGGGTTGACTTGAATCCTTCAACAACTCTTCTTAGTTGAGAAACATGGAAGATTAAATACATGCTTTTAAGACTCTTCTTAGCTCAAGATGATATGTGATTGGTCAGATCCTTTGTAAGATGTTGAATGACCAAATTAATGGGGAGAAAGCTTCTCATTAGGGTGTTGAGCAAGGGATTGGAATTGATATGGCCTTACACATAGATAGACAGAATCACCCACCTGAAATCATAGGTTTCTTGTTTGTGTAAGGTTCATGTGCAGTTTTTCTAGATCAGTCAGTGTTTGAGCTATTCAAAAATTTCATCCCTCTCTTGTATCTGCTTTTCAATAATGTCGACACTAGCCTTGGGGTGTCCACATCTAAGGAGGGATGGAGGGTCCAGAACATAGACCATCTTGTAGGGAGTGATGCCTATTAATCCTTCAGGTTTATGTGATAATCAAGATCAAATGTTGAGAAATATTATTTTAACAGATGTAAAATGCAATTAAATTGAATAACAATCTAAAATAGATTTTACATTGTATGTCATGAATTCTTATTTAAATCTGTGTAATAGTCTTGATACATTTTTTAATTGACCCCCTAACAATGACATTTTAAGGTATAACTTTGAAAAATATTATATTTTCTGCAGCCAACAAGAAAGTATTCATAAAACTAGCATTTTGTTGGCTTTGCTGATTAATTTATTCATGTTATCAATGTGAGTTGTTAATAGGCTAGGAACATAGGTTCAGGAAAAGAAACCCATTATTATGGGGTAAAGAAGGGACCTTAGGGCATGGGAGAAAGAGGCGAAGGTGTTTTGGGGATGGAGGAATTCCTAGTAGTGTCAGTGCCAATGGTGTCCAGCAGCCCTGTAGTGGGGTTCCAATGCAATGTCCAGAAATGTAGTAGTGGGGTTTTAATGGTAGTGTGGTGCGGAACCCTCACCTTAAGGGGTAAGTTCTCTTCGTATGACATGCAGAGACAAGTTCAATAGCAAACAAGAGAAGCTCATGAACCTTGGTTTCATGTTTAATCACATTATCTATTTACTTTTAATTAATTTAGTTATGTGGATGATAGGTGATGTGGCTCAATCATTGTATATTAAATCACGTAAATTTAAAATTTATAAAACTAGAAAATACGACTTTTCAAATATTTAAAAGTATTTTTTAAAAAATATATCAATTATAATTCAATAAAAAATCAAAAATAGTGATAATTTTCTAAGTTGATCACAAGGATGTAATATAACATCTAGTAATTATTCAGAATTTTTTTCAATAAATAAGATTTTCTATGAATTTTATACTAAAAAATGAAAAGAAAATATATTTAAAATTCACGAAAAAGGAAAATAAGGTGCAGACGTTAGGATGACGTCAATGCCTGGTGAATGTGAATCGGGTAGAAATAGAGTTCCACCTGGCAGTTCTTACGTAAGCGATTACAGATGATTTAATTAATCAAATTAAGATCTGTAAAAGTCAAAAGAATCATAAGTGAACAAATATTTGGGTAAATTAAAAACACAAAAATTATCATTAAATGAAACGTAAAGTAAGTTGAAAGTAGGAAAACAAAGTTCCGACGTCACGATGGTGATGCGTCGATGATGCATTAGAATCCTGAACATTTGGGAGGATCATTGTGTAGTGTCTACGGCCTCGAAGGCTTTCCTTGGACAAAGACGATGTAGGTAATTTTTAAATCTCCTTGCAAAGTTTAGAGATCAATGAAGTAGGTCGTCGAATCATCTCTGGTGGCTGTCACCTAGCAGAGCGGAAAAATGGTGACTTTGCGGTTCTTCGGTGGCTGTCACCTAACGGAGAGGAGTTGGATGGAGGTGAGGCGCGTGTCAGGGAGCTTCATCCTCAGGTATGCGCAATAAGAGGAGGCTCTTCATCGCATCTGGTACGCTCTCAGGAGGTGGCGACTTGTCTCTCGGTAGATCATCTTCTTCTCGATGATGGCTTGTTTATTGATCAATTGGAGATGATTTACTCGATGGATTCACGATCCTTTTATTATAAATCCTTCAACAATTTTAGTAACAATACTCCGCGAATCGCATTGACAAGATTTTTGCCGATGATCCAGCAATTTTGATTGCTTAATCCTTCACCGGTGATATGCAAGAAAGTCGCAATAATCAGATAAAAATATGAGTTTTGGCTCTTGGAGGATTCAACTGCCGGTTGCCCTGCCTCTTTTGAGGAAAGTAATAGGTTTAGTCCCACATCGGTGTGGGCCGAATGTTCGGGCGAATAAATAATAATATTACATTCTTAAGTAAAGTCCTTTCCTCACGTGTGTGCAACCACTCCTTGCCCCACAGCTGACTGGCCACTGGTGACGTGGAAGGGGAGTGGCGCACACATGCCCCCATCAGTTCAAGTCGCTCAAGCCCCTACTCGTGGCTACTCCCTGACTATGCTTTCGACTTGTTTGTGGGCTCGGTTGGTTGGTAGGTCCCCTCCATTTTGCTATATTTTTATTTTAATTTCTTTTCCTTTATTTATCTCAAAAGTAAGACTATAAAAATCATATAAAATCACATAATTACCCAAAAATTCACGTTAATCAACTAAAAACTAATTTTTACATTTAACACAAATATAAGTCTATTTATCATGAGTTAAGGCTAAAACTATATTATTTACTAATTATTAACTCATGATAATGAAGACTTATCAGTAGGCACATAGTAGGATTAAACTTTATATCTATTTAGATTTATGTTGTTTGATCTATATTTGAATTCCTTGCAGCAACTTTATTTCAATCCTCAAGGACCCTCATTTCAATTTCATACATAATTTTTTTTGATTTAATATGAATATTTTCTATACTCCTAATTTTGAGTTTGTATTCATTATTTATGGTTCACTGAATTGTAGTTCATTTTCCCACTCCATTGCCAATAGAGAGAGATGCACCAACGAGTCTCTATCTCTGTCTATCTATCTGTCTCTCTATCTCTCTCTCTCTCTCCTCTTTGTGCACCACCTTTAATATTGATCTTGATCAATGTAGAATAGATCTTGATGATTTAAATAGGCCATCACGTAGATAGAAATTAAAGTTGAGAAATGGGGATGATAGTTTTCTTATCCTCTCAAGTTCTTTTAGGTCACATATATATTAAAAGACAAAATTAGACATTTGTGCTGGTAGTAATCCCCATCGACTAGTCCCTAAGAAAATTAATATTAATTTATGTTTTGAGTTTAGCTATAAGTATTAAAATTTAGAGGCAATGTCAAGGTGATGGCCATTGCTCAACAATACCTATTGTTGAGTAATAGCTAACATTAAACCAGAACTTGGGCCAACTGAGCCATTTGTTCCATTGTCAAGAACAATCATCTATGAAGAACCTTAGGTAAGTCTCAAGTCTCCAATTGACTATTTCTATTTGACCATCTATTTGGAGTTGACAAGCATTACTTTGACATAGAAAAGTTTCTTGCATTATGAATAATTATCTTGAGAAAATACTCATAAAAGTTAGATCATAGTCTATGATGATTGAAGTCAAAAATTTTCACCAGTGCACAATATCTCAAATGAAAACTTGTGCGACATTAAGGGCTGAGAATGATTGTTTTAGGAAAGACAAATGTGCATCTTGCTTTGTCAACCATTGACTATCAAGACGACGTTGAACCCATCCAATGTAAGTAATTTCTTGATAAAATCCACAAAGATATTGTCCTAGATACTCTTTAGAATGTCCAATAGTTGGAGAAGGCTGACTAGGGACAATGCTTGGGTTTTTTTCTTTTGGCAAATAGATAATTCTTGTATATGTTGGCAGATTTTTCCTTTTATTCTGAACTAGTAAACCTTTCTTTGAATTTTCTTGTAAGCCTAAAGGAAGCCTAAATATTCAGCAATAGTAGAACCATAGCCGTAATTGATCAAAAGGATGAATGCTAAATCCCTTTAGGGTACCAAATGTCCTTGATGGAATAGATATCCATGTTATAACCTTTGACAATTTATCTTCACCATGGGCTAGCCTAATTTTCTCTTGTGATATTGTAACTTGCACTTGCATTAATGTCTTGGGCTACACATGCATGAGAAGCCTAGTCCCTGAGCACAGTGGATATGAAATTTTGATAGAGTAAATACTAGGCTTCTTAATTTTTGATGAGTGTTCCCATCCTAGGTTTTACTGGCGCCCTCTTTGGCTCCTAAAGCTTATCTGGATGGGTTGGAGTAGAAATCTCTTTAGCATTCAGGGAGATAATGATGATTTATTTGCAATAGAGCATTCATCTCCACCTTTTATGGTGTTCTCATCAGTTTCAACCTGTGAGCTCTAGGAGGCTTACTTCGACTTACACCTTCTACTTCAAGCTCTTAAAATAGGTATTCTCTAGGACTAGCTTTGAAACTCCCCAACAGTGTTGACTATGAGTTAAGACTCTTCTGGATATTCAGCCACTGAGCATTTTTGTTTGATCTTCAAGAATCGTAGGTACAAGAATCATGACTAGTTATTGGTTTTTTCCAAGATGTGATGACAAAGATCCTCTCAACATTTAAAGAATCCCATGCACTCATCCATTTGAACTAGGATAATGCCTTGCCTTCTAGGTTCATTTCCATGGGGATCAATTTTTCTACTCTTGTCAGTTGATGGAGAGATAAGTACACCTCAATCAGGAAAAACCATCCTTTTGAATTATCTCCATCAAAAATAGTAGTTTCAAGTTTTTTTTGGCACATGGCCACAGTGTTGAAAAGTTCAGATTATATGTGAGACTTGCCATGTTGTGATTCATAGCGGTGTCATCAATCTCATGAGAGCGGCCCTTCCCTTGACCAAGGGGTAGGTTTGACTGACCTTGATTACTTTCTCTATCATCCTTGTTGGTATGCGACCACTTTGTGTGGATGTATGTGGAGGCGGTCACTTGATCGGCTCATTAAACACTTTTATAGCCTAGACGAGTAGCTCCAATTGTTGTGTGACATTTTTATCCCATTCTAAGAGAAGAGCTATGTACCTCTTGATGGAGCTCATCAATGTTTTTCTCCATTTGTTTGACTCTATCATTTGATTTGACCTGCATGATAATAAAGACAACCTCACTCAAATACTAAGATGATGGGATGTTGTCCTCCCAAGGCAAAATGTCTAGAAGACCAAGATAAAAGAGAGGGTGAATGACGGTCAACACTTGAGAGAAAGGTAAGTCTTAACTCCAACATGATTAAACAAGGGATAATAGGACTAAATTTAAAAGATAGAAACCGAGAACATATGAACCTAAGAAACCTCAACAAAGGGCTCCCAAGCAACTGATGACTACTTTGAGAGGGTGAACCTCTAGGACTCTTCCCTGGGACTTCTTCCCTTCTCCACTAACATATCTAAAATAACTTCTGAAGTATTCTTGTTGAAGAATTTTCCCAATTTGACTTCCCCAAAACTAATTGGTGCTCCGCCTTGTTTAATGACGAACATTCTGAATCATGACTTGTGGTTCACGCCTTGCTGTCAGCTGTCCTCCCACACCATTGTACTCACTTGGCCTTCCTCAATGCTGTCATTTAGTTTGAAGGTTGATTTTATTTTCAATGATGATTTTTTGGGTCTTAAGAGAGAAGGAGATTGCATTTTGATAGTGGTGAGAGGTGTAATGCACAACTTAAATTCTCATGCGTAGTTTTAAATTAGAAGATCTTGTAATATCTTCTTGAATCCTTCACCCCCTACACCAGATTGCATGTAAGATCACATTTTAGAGTTCTCGTAAATACTTCTTGCAAGACTAGAGGTGGAGGAAAATGTCAATAATCAGGTACAGAAGTATGGAATTAAACCTAGGTAATACCCAAATATGCCTACTTGAAGTTGAGCAATCACCCAAGGGTTAGGAATTTGTCATATGAAATAATATATCATCAATGAAAATTAGAAAAATGTGTGCATCTGACTTCTAAATTGAACACAAATATATTAGGGATTTTGAAATGATAGTTAAATTTTTCCATGAAGTAGAGCCTGAAAAATTTCAAGTAAACAAAGCTTTGCCATTGATATCTAGGCAAAATCACCAAAAATGATTAAAAACATATATAAAATTTAGGGGTTTACTAAATCTGAGGAAGAAAGTAATCTTACATAAACTAAGATTGATAACACAAGGACATGTGATCCATGAATACAAGAATGAATTTAATTGAATATCTTATGTGTTTGAAAACTATATGATAGTCTCACTAATTGGGTTGATTCATGAGTTGTTCATTTGTTCTTTGCATGAAGGTAACTCATGTCACATCAAACAAATGAGTGAATTCATCTTGTGTTAATATATTGAAAAACTATTTATACAACTATGTTTTGAGTTAATATTTTGTGAATTTCTAAAGCTTGTGGTACTGATAATGTTCTATTTCATATGCAAACTAAGGTAAAATAATTTAATTGTCACATAATTCTCACAAAAAATGATATAGATTTGATGACATTGTGATTGATAATTTTAATTTTTTGCTGGTTTTTAGTAATTTTTCTGAGTTTAATAAGTTCAATCGACTCAAGAATGAATGTATTAACACATACTTAAATAGATGTGTCATCTTTGCAGAAAACACGATCTGAGCATTAAAATGAAAATGTAACAATATTAAAATAAAATATTAATTCTATTGAGTGTTTCTTATTCTAACCTATTTTATTTGAGTTTTATTATATTTTTCAAGGCCTAAAAGGCTTGAGAAAAATTATATGAATCTCAAGATCAAAGAAACATCTCATTTTTGTGAGTTCCTCTTAACTCCATGAGAATAACCAGTCAGGACATAAAGTGGCTTCATTCAAGACTAGGAAAGGCTCTCCTCAAGAGAGCTTCTAGAAGAGTCAAAAAAACATGTGGAGAGATATATGGAAGATCCACTAAAATAGGAGGTGGTTATGAATTAAAAAGAAAACAAATGAGACAAGGATGTTGACATAATAAAGGAAGACCATAATCCTTAGCAGGGGAGGGGAGAGAAAAGGAGACAGAAAAGGAGAAAGAAGAGTAGGAGAAGGGGTTGGCTGATTGGTGGACACACAAAAATTGAGGAAGAAAGCTTAGGACCAAGGAGCAAGGGGACCTCAAGACTAGTTGATTTTCTTATTTCATTGCTCTTTTATCATGTGGGTGAAATACATTAAAATAGAGAGAATAATTTATTGAATTTAGTCAATCTAAGTATTTCATTCTTCTCATATTCTTAGGTGACAAATAAGGACAAGGGAGAGCTTTAACTTTCATCCGAAGTTGTCATCGTTGCAACTTTAAGTAAAGTTTTATTATAATCCACCACACTCTCTTTTCTCATCCTTGGGTGAAAAATAAGAATATAAGGAGAATAAATTATTTCTATTATAGTTTTGAAGATTTAATTGAAAGTTAATATTGTTATATATAAACTCTAAGGATTCTACTACATGATGAATAGTTGAGTCTGATTTTCTTTTTTTGCATTTATTTTTCTTCATGAATTTATTTATTTTAGCTTATCCCTAATTGAAAACTAGGGTGGCTCTATAGTTTACTCATTTTGATTTTATTTTAGATATTTACTTCAAATAATTCAAAACATTCTCTAAGTCAATAAAAGTTATTCTATTGATAATTGTCCATCTCATCTCATCTTTTTACATCACAATTTCTAAATTATTTTCCTCTAGTCATAAGTTAATCATCTCATTATTGAAACTCTCCTTCGTCTTTTATGAAGATATTAGGAGAAATAAACACAAAAAAATAAGTGGTAAAAGAGGGCTAATAGGTAACGAAGAGAAGGTTTTATCACTAATCTCATCCCATTTTGTTTTTATTCTTTTCTTTTGTTTCATCCTTCTCATTAGAAATTTAGAAACTAATTAAAGTTGATTCTAACCATCCCTGAAGTTAGACCTGAACTTATACTAATACTAAATTATATTTAGAAGGTTCTATAAATATTGTAATTTTTTATGCATTAGAACACAATGACTAATGCATGGTCAGGTATCTTCCTACTTTCTTTTGAAAATTAGTTCACAAGCTAATTATTTTTTGGAATTGACTAAAATCTAAAAACCATATCTTTACTACCTTCGTAATTTCTTTCCTCGCTCTCCCACATTGTTGATTATAGAGTACTCTAAATTGCTATCATTGTGCACCAATTTTTAGAGACTTTTAATTTCAAAGTAATCAATTTATATCTTGTCCAATTGACCCTTAAATATTTTTCCAAATGGCTGTTAAAATGTTATCCTACCACTAAACGAAATCCTTATGTGAGTGAACTATAATGATTTTTTTAAGAGAAAAAATGTAGACCCTGATGTAGATCATAACTAAGAAAAGTCTAACACTAGTTGGGTATGATCTTTGAAAGCTTGATAGATGGGCTACAAGAATGAGATGCCCTAATATGGTATAAAGTTCATAGTAATATCCCTAACAAATACTGTATTTATTCTATTAAAATATTTCTCTTATCACAAAAAGTACATTGAAATGATTTTAAAATGATATTAAAATTGATTTGCTATTATAGAATCACTTGAAAGCCTCCACATTATTATAATCCTTGATAAATCTTAAGTAGCAGGATTTTTTTTGTTTAAGACTTTCCTCTCTTTGTTTATCAATTTAAATCCCCTTGTTAAATTCAAGTAATAGTTTGTTATTTGTGAATTCATAGGTGGCTCTTATAAGTCCTCAATTCAAGGATGGAATGCTCTGTGTTTTGTTTATTCAGGACATTCATCATTTGTAGAAATATCATCTTAGTCATTGAGGTCAAACTTTCTTTCTTATGTAACTTCCACTACACTAGTTGGTATTAGAGTGACATTTCAATCTACAAATGTTAAAGATATCATTAGAATGAGGTAGATGGCTTATGTAAGACAATTAGTTTGAGTTCCATGAAAATTACAATACAAATAAGTATCTGCATGAGTAATTGAAAGACATTTTTGAGAGGGTTTAAGCATTGGAAAAGTTTATGTTCTAATTTTGGAGATTTAGAAAAATATGGAGATCATTAGTAAAGTCAACATTGGAAAAGCCTTGAATATATGAAGATCTAGAGAAAGGAGAAAGTGAAGTATGTGACCTAGAAATTGAAGGGTAAAACATCAATATGGTAGGAATATATCCAAGTGACACGAGCAAGGTCAGGTCAGGAACTTAGTTGTACATCTTTTAAAATGATAAGTTACTAAAATCTAGATTTCTTCCACAAGATTATGAGAAAATATCAAAATTACAAGGACCTAGATTTGTTGTGGAATATGCAGAAGACCTTAACTAGTTGTCTTCCCAATTTAATTTGAGAGAGTCAAAATCCTATACAGGTTAAATGATAAAGAGTTTTCTCATAAGAAATAGTGAAATAAAGTAGTTTTGCTTTCTGGCAAAAGATAATGTAAGAGTAGAATGTGCATATTTCTTTCTAGAGAAGGTCAAAACATGATTTTTGAATTGCAACAACATTTCTCTCTTTTCGCAAGAAAGGTCAAAGCAATCTGCTCTTACTTCTCCACTAGTCACAATACATGGGGAACAACTCATGTACTAAAGCTGGGATGGAGTCGGAATGGTGCAGTACATTGTCAAATCTTGTTTTATCCACTGTTCCTCAGAATGTTATAGATGTGGCAAAAACACTATGCAGAAAGGTCATGAACAAAATTTTTGTCCCAAAAGAGGTGCAACCAATTTCACATAGGTAAAAAATGAGGAAAATGATGAGATAGAACATCAACTTGAAAGACACATTTTCTCCCACAATCATTAGAAAGCAGCTCATGTAGATATGAAGAAAGGAGGTCCATCCCAATAACATAATGTTTTTCAAATGCAACAAATTGATACCATACAAAGATCTTATAATTGAATGTAGTGGCAAAAATATTATTTCATTGATAATGGTTAACAAAAACTAAAAATAAAAAATCACCAGCATTCATACAAAATTGGTTATAAGAAATGATTCAGGAATAAATTCATGGGAAGATATAAAGGGAAAGAACTACAATTATAACACTATAATATAGTAATCTTTGAACATCACAAATCTTTGCTCTTCCCAAACTTGTAGAGAGAAGCCCATGGGAGATAGAAGACAATGAGAAGTAGAGATCCAAATTCTTGTACCAGGTCAGGTCATTTGTTTGGGTAATTTAAGGATGCATAGCAAAAAGAGATGTGGGTACTTCTCTTGACTGCTTTAAATTTCTAAGGGTCATATTTTATTTAAGTCGTGTGAACTAATAAAATAAATATATCTATAGGAAGCTTGTGAGGAGAATAATGATCTATAAGAACCTTAGAATATCACATTGCTTGAGCGATTGAAACGCCGTGTTCAGCGTCTGGTTTCCCGACCCGGTTCGGTCTTTTTAAACACCGATTTAGAAAGACCTCCAGGCCAACCAGTTCTGGCGGGAAGTCGACTCCCACAGACTATCTTCTTCCTCCCCCAGCCGCTGCCCTGATCTCACGCCTTACTCCTACTCGAAACCATCCATGGAGAATGGTGCACCCCTCCCACCGATCGGATCTGGGATCTCGAGAAACGGTCGAGTGATATGCTCTCAGTGAAGCTTGAACGTGCGCAATGCAGTGGATTGGCCGACGCTCCGCCCGGATGTTCGATAATTCTCCAGTCACTGATCGGCGTTTCTCAGATCTAGGTATTTCTGCATCCGAGCCCGATTCGCAGATGTTTAGCTTCTTGTTCTTTGGTTGAGGTCTGATGATGTTGGAGATCGATTCTTGTTCTTCATTTGACTATGTGCTTTCTTTCGACCGCAGGTTTCCTTGAGGCGCACCGGTAACGGTGATTATCTGCGTGCTTGAAAAGATCGGAAGGCTGTACGGCGTCAGAGGTAAGCGAATCCATTCCGGAACCTTGATTGAGTTGTGACCCGGCCTCAGTTCATTTTACCGATTCTTTTCAAGAACCGTTGGTTTCATAAACCCTCGCTAAAAATGTTCTCGTGTTCAAAAGATCTGAGCGATCCCCTGCGATAGGATCTGGCAAATCGGGTCGTGTTTAAGGATGGATTGCTCCTGGATGGGATTGAGGATCAAATTCCCCGGAGGAGTTTTCATGAGTTTAGCTAACTAGAATTCTAGGGCTCTTCAGCGTCCTTCCGTTTTCCCGCGTCCGGAAACTTCGGAGGTGAAGGATTTCGAAGGCCGGAAATGGAAACATGGACGCTAGACATGCGTCAATGAGAAACAGACGTAGCGCTTCCCCTTGAGTACTGCTACGCACGGTTTGCCAGCTGTTCCACTGAGACTGGGGAAGAAAAGGGGGAAAGGGGGGGATGAACTTCCGTTGGTGGAGAACAATGTTATGATTGGATTCAGTTCTCCTTGTTATTGGATAATCCATCAGTCCATCCTGCTCTCACTACCGTCTGTCGTCTGGTTTTGTTTTGTCCAGATTCAAGAAAGCTTCCCGAGAAGAGGCGGGAATAAGTACCACCGATTTTGCTGGCCTCTCTCTGAATAATCGAAAAGTTCTCCGAAGGATTGGCCAAACAGCACCATCGAAGGAGGAACGAACTTCTAGCAGTTGTGAGAATGGCGTCGGGGCTTCCGCCACAAAATTTCAGGTATGTTCGAATCGCCGGTAGACGGGTTCTTGTCTTTATGACAACCAGAGCGGAGGAGGCAGACGAGTGGGTGCGGCGGGTCGAGGAAACATGGCCGGGGACGAGGATCGTCGGTCTTTCCTTCTTCTGGGAGCCGTCGCTCCTCCCCGACGGCTCCCTCAGGCGGAGAGTCAGCTCCATCCACCTCTCTTACCTGACGCATGTGCTGGTGTACCGACTCTCCTCGGCGGAGAACGATGCCATCGCCCCCCGCCTCGTCAACTTCCTCTGCGACCTCCGCAACATCTTCATCGGGGACGACCTCCACCGGAGCCTGCAGGCACTCGGGTTTCACGGCAGCTGCTGGCCCATGTTCATGGCGGAGATGCTCGACGTAGCGGAGATCTGCGGCGTCTCTCCCGTCTTCATATTGGCCACCTGGCTTCCGCTACACGTGGCTCTGGCGGCGGTTCTTCTCAGGGACATGGATATAGGCCTTCTTCTTCTGGAGGATCATGTGCACCTTACGCCCTCCTCTTGGCCGATGACCGAAATTCAGGTCCAGTTTGCGGTGGAGACGTCCTTCGTTGGTCAGATGCTCGGACATAGCGCTTACGTATCAAGCTTTTCGTAGCGCGAGGTGAGGAAGAAGACAAAGACACCGCAAGCTATTCCGCCATTGCTGGTGCTCGGTCTTCAATCGCTGAAGAATTGGTTTGGGGCGGTCTTCGTTCCATGGACGACGGGCTTCAGTCTGTCTTTTCTTTATCAGGTCAGATCAGTAAGAATGTTCCCGTGAGGTAAGATAGATTTTCTGCCCGAAACATTTGAGAGGGTATCGGTGGGAATATACGAAGCTAGGAAAGCTTGACAGAGGGCTCCCTAGTAACTGATAACTTCGAGAGGGTCAACCTCTGGGACTCTCCTACGAGACTTCCTACCCTCACACCTAAAAACCCACAATAGCTTATGGAATATTCTGATCGGCGAGTTACCCCGATTCAACGTCTCAAAGATTGATTGATGCTTCGCCTTCTTTATTTAGGATGAACCTTCTGAATCATGTCGCATTGTTGATGTCTTGCCATCATCTGTTCTCCCTTTCTGTCTTATAATGGTTTGGAGGATGCAATGGTCGCATCAATACTCCAATATGTGTGTTTCACTTTGTAAATTTGAATTTGATCACCCAGCCCATGAGAGTAGAGCTCTTATGTCGCGTGGTGTCTATATACCATTGTCAGAGAATATTCTTCAGAGTTAAAATTCAAGTGATATTTTCATCCAACTGCAGTGGCGAGGTTTAGCTTAAGATGATACACGACTGCTCTAATTCTTTTCAGATGTTGAAAGGCCCAAAATAATGAGGAGAAAACTTCTCATTAAGACATGATGTAAAGATTCTATGGTTGATATTGTCTTAGGCATAGATAGACAGAATCACTCACCAGGAATTGCACATCGTGATACTTCTTGATTCCCGAATAATTGTATTGAGCTTTTCTACCTAATAATGCTGATCATATCAATCATAAGTTAAGATCTTGATTACTAACTGCTTGGAATAAACAATGGACTTTACACTCCTTGATCCTCATAATCCAATTAGATGCATCAAGTGCATGTGTGTTAAATTTATTAACATGGCCTTCAAATCTTGTAAGGACATATGACTTAGGAAACAACCAAAAACAAGTTCTACACTAAAAAAATCACATGATTAAATTTTTAGTTTTTCTATGCATCAACACTAGCCTTAGGGTGTCCATATTTCAGAAGGGCGGGAGGGTCCTAGCTATAGACCACCTTAAAGCTAGTGATGTTTGTTGATGAGTGATGGTTGGTATTGTACTAGAACTCAGCCCAAGTTAGCCATTTTCTCCATTGTTGGGGACCATCACTTAGAAAACACCTTAATTAGGCATGTTCTAGTGCATTTTGAAAAACTATCTCCAGAAAATACTTGTAAAGATTCGATCACAATCTATAAGGAATCGAAGTTAGAACTTTGTGCAGGTGCATAATGTCTAGAATGAAAACATGTGCAACACTTTGGAGCTGAAAGTGAATGTTTTAGTAGAGAGAAAAATGTGTAATTGGTTAGTCTATCAATGAAAACCAAGATGACATTGAACTAATCTGCATTTGGTGATTCTTCAATGAAATCTATAATGATATCATCGTGGATCCATTTTAGAATATCAAATGGTTGGGGAAAGTTTACTAGAGACTATTAGAACTATAGATTTGGGTGAAACACCAAGAGAGGAGGAGGTGGAATTAGGATTTCTGTCTATTTTTCAATTTAGGCAAGATCTATATGTGTCACAATATGTGTTTACACACATATTATAATAAGGTGTCTCAACTCTTAGTATTTAATAAGATGAAGATTTCATGTTGCATTGCCAAGTTAAGAAGAAATTTCATCTTTAAGATTTTCCCCCTCTTTCCATGTTATTGAAATGCCCTTGGTAGATTGAAGGAAAAATTTGATATTTGTGGATTCATGGCTCTCTCCTACAAGTCCTTAATGATTCAACTATAGAAGGTTCCATGTTTTATTAAATCAGGACATTAATCATTATAGAAGTGTCATGTCTAGGTAGAATGAAGTAAAAACTCATTTTTTATCCAACTCCCACTATGACGATTGGTATTAAATTGATATTTAAAACTTTAGAGCCATCAAAGTTAAAGATCTCAATAGGACAAAGAGTCAACCATATTGAGAGGTAATTCGGGAGGTAGGCCTATTATCTAAGACAAAATAGTATGAGTTCCATGAATAGTACCATAAAAGTTATTATCTATGTGAAACATTGAATGAAGGTTCTGAGAGGGTTTCAGAGTTGGAAAAGTGTATGTTCTAATTTTGGACAATGAAAATAATATGAGGCATCCTATGTAAAGACAGCCAAAAAAAAATTTAGTTGACTCTAATAGTTTTATTTACATATAGATGATATGAAGCATCCTACTAAATAATTAAATTATGCAAGATGATATTATGAAAATTGATTTACCTAGTTTTAATGGCCTATTATGTAAAGAGGAATTTTTGGATTGGTGGGTTGAGGTTGGGTAATTTTTAGAATTTATGAAGATCCAAGGAAAGGAGATAGCAAAGTTTATGACCTATAAGTTAAAGGAAAGAACATCAATATGATGGGAATAGATCCAAGTGACACGAGATAGATCAAGAACCTACTTGTACATGGTTAAATATTACAATACTATTAAAATCTTGATTTCAATCATAACATTAAGAGGAAATATGAAATTTACAAAGAGTAACTAGATTCTTGTGGAATTCTAATCTTGAAGATTCTTGTTGGTTCGAGTTCCACGAGCTTGGTTAGTGATTTTTCAAGGTTCAGTCTGAGTGGTTAGCACCAAGGAGTGGCCTGGTGCTGTTAGAAGGAAATGAGCTATTTAGGCTGGCAGGTATAATTGAGGACCAAAAGTCAGGTGAAATAATATGATAAAATAATGATGTAAAAAAAAGAAAAGGTGGAGAGAGAAAAGGGGGTGGAATGAGAGGGCGTCGGCGAGCGAGAGAGAGAGAGAGAGAGAAAATGAGGGGTACGTGGCGACGGCGAGAGAGAGAGAAAAAAAAGAAGGTTCTCGTGGTCACGATGGACAGACGGCCAGAAGGGGAAATGGTGGCGACGGCAGGTTGGCGATGGGGCAGAAGGTGAGAAGGCGGAACGACAGCAATGACGGGAGAGAAAAGAAGGTTGGCTGGCGATGGGGTGGATGATGAGGAGGCGGAATGACGATGATGAGGAGGTGGAATGGTGGCGATAGGACGGACGGCAAGGAGGTGGAACAACGGCAAGGGGCGGGCGATGAAAAGGCGGAATGATAGTGACAGTTGGAGAGGAAAGAGAGGTGAGATTGGTGACATGGCGGATGGCTAGAAGGCGGAATGGTAGAAACGGTAGGAGAGAAGAGAAAGAAAGAGAGGTCTCCCTAATTCAAGAGGGCGAGAAGAAGAAGATACCTCTAATCCAAGGGCGAGTGAAAGAGAAAATGAACCCCTAATCCAAGAGGTGAGAGAGATAATAAGAATCTTCTTGATTCCAAATTCAATGTCAACTTTTTGTTTTCTTTCAAGTGTATGTGTGTTTGAGTATGTATAAGAAAGAGAGGAAGTTAGTTCGAGTCGTCCCCTCCCAAAGGATGTCAAGTCGTGTCTTTTGGAGGGAGAGGTGCCTTCCTTAGAGGAGAAGGGGTGCGTGGGTGATATGGCCTCTTCTCCTCCCTCTTCTTCCTCCTCGTGGGTCCACCTAAGGGAATGAACCCTCATGTTGACTCCATCAATTCTCCCAATGTTGATATGAAGAAAGGATAACCATCCCAATAATATAATGTGTTGTCATCAGGAAAGATGTTATATTTGATTCAAGTTCCATAAACACTATTTCATTGAGAATGTTAAAAAATTAATGCTAAAAATAAGAAATTAGCACGGTTCAAATAAAATTGGTCATGAGAAATGATTTAGGTAGAATAATACACTGATAACATCATATTGTACTCATCTTTGAGCATGAAAAATCTTTTCTCTAGCCCAGCTTGTAGAGAGAAAGGCAAATGAGAAGTAGAGGTCCAAATTACTACACCAAGTCGGGTCAATTTTTTGCGTAATTTAAGCATGCATAACGAAGAGAGACATGGGTCTACTTCATGCCGTTGCTCTCTCTCTCGCTAGTTACAAGAATAAGGAATGTTGCCATTTCTCTCTCTCTCTCTCTTTCTCTCCCTCGACTGCTTTAAATTTCTCAGGTCATATCTTTAGGAAGCTTGTGAGGTGAATAAAGATCTATAGGTACTTTAGAATATCACTCTGCTCGATCGATTGAACGGCCGTGTTCAGCATTTAGTTACCCGACCCGGTTCGGTCTTTTAAACACCGGTTTCAAAAGACCTCCAGGCCAGCCAGTTCTGGCGGGAAGTCAACACCCACAGACTCTCTTCTTCCTCCGCCAGTCGCTGCCCTGTTCACGCGCCTTGCTCCTACTCGAAACCATCCATGGAGAATGGTACACCCTCCCGCCGATCGTACGCGGGATATCGAGAATCGGTCGAGTGATATGCTCTCAGTGAAGCTCGAACGTGCTCAATGCAGTGGATTGGCCGACGATCCGCTCGGATGGTCATTAATTCTCCAGTTACTAATCGGCGTTTCTCAGATCTAGGTATGGCTGCGTGTGAGCGGGATTCGAAGAAGTTTAATTTCTTGATCTTCGGTCTGATGATGTTGGAGATCGATTCTTGTTCTTCATTTGACTATGTGCTTTCTTTCGACCGGAGGTTTTCCTTGAGGCGCACCGGTAACGGTGATTATCTGCGTGCTTGAAAAGATCGGAAGGCTGTACGGCGTCAGAGGTAAACGAATCCATTCCGGAGCCTTGGTTGAGCTATGATCCGGCCTCAGTTCTTTTTACCGATTCTTTTCAAGAACGGCAGGTTTCATAAACCCTCGCTAACAATCTTCTCGTCTTGAGATGATCTGAGCGATCCCCTGAGATAGGATCTGGCAAAATAGGCGGGTTTAAGGATCAAATTTACAGGAGGATCTAAGCGCGACGTTGCAGTGAGCGGTGGGTCGAGGAAACGTGACCGCGG